GTCATGCTCAGCATATAAAGCTGGGGGAAAAAGGAGGAAGGGGGGGACATTCAGAGTTACAGCATTTTGTCTTCCCAAGTAACCGTTACGCGTGATGGAGCCCTGCTTTCCTGGAGATGGCTGAACACCTGCCTGCCCATGGGAAGCAGTGAATGAATTCCTTGTTTTGCTTTGCTTGTGTGCACAGCTTTTGCTTTACTTATTAAACTGTCTTTATCTCAATCCACGAGTTTTCTCACTTTTACCCTTCTGATTCTCTCCCCCATCCCACTGCGGGAGGAGTGAGTGAGCAGCTGTGTGGTGCTTCGTTGCTGGCTGGAGTTAAACCACGACACAACCCCAGGAAGGCAGAAATGCCACAAGCTTGTTCAAGCAGCTTCTTTTCACAGTATAACAGTTACAGTATAATGGGAGACACTCCAGTGGGATACACCGCAAAACATCCAGGTTATGGTTTAAGTCTGAACTGTTGGCTTCTTCTGGTCTCTGCAGGAGGAGAATAAGCTAAAGCCATTTCCCCCCTTTTAACAGTTCTGCTGTTCTCATAAAATATGTTTTCCTTCTTTCAGGCAAACCACATTGCCTCTCCTAGTCTCTACTCCACCTCCTCCTCCTTCCCCAAGGCTTCTGTTCTTCTGTATTATCTGTATGAATTTCTGACATCCAGCCTCTAGTACCAGGTTGCCTTCACCGTTCGGTCTTCTCCTGGGGCAGGGGCACAGCCAGCCCTAGAGGTGAAAGGATCTGGATCCATAAACAAGCTGAGTCTCCCTAAGACCAAATAAAATGTGAACGAGGTTGGGATGATGCTGTCACACTTGCTACAAGCACAGGCAGAGCCCACAACACCATCCGCACCACTGGGACACAGCCAGATATTGCAGTCCACTCTGAGGATTACCTCAGCTCGGATTTGTGTCATAACATATTTCATGTTAAGTGAGCAAAAACACCAAGACAAGAAGCTCATACTGGGACAGCTGCGGATGAAAGCAGCTACGACTGCTACCCGGCTTTGTTCCAAGGACAGTGGGAAGCAAAAATAAGGACAATCAGGATGTGAGGGAAAGACTTAGAACGGGCCAGAGACATTATCACAGTTTTTGTCTGTTGCAGAAAAATTGAAGTTCTGTGTTATTAAGAAAAAAGATACTTCTCAAGAAAAAGATGTAGTGATTTTTTCACCACAAAGTGTTCTTCTCTTAGATCCCCTGATAGTGCTTTGTTCACTCATGATACAGTAACAACCATCAGTCAGTATATATGGAGCAGTTCCGGAGAACTACAGGCCTGTAAGTCTGACTTTGGTGCCAGGGAAGGTTATGGAGCAGATCATCTTGAGTGCCATCACACGGCATGTACAGGACAACCAGGGGATCAGGCCCAGCCAGCACGGGTTCATGAAAGGCAGGTCCTGCTTGACCAACCTGATCTCCTTCTATGACCAGGTGACCCGCCTGGTGGATGAGGGAAAGGCTGTGGATGTGGTCTACCTGGACTTCAGCAAGGCCTTTGACACCGTCTCCCACAGCATTCTCCTAGAGAAGCTGGCGGCTCACGGCTTAGACAGGTGGACTCT